GTTGTATGCCAACCAAAAGAAGTGTCTATTCGGGCAAATGGAGTTGGAATATCCGGGGCATATTATATTAGAAAAGCGGTATCGATCGACGAATCCAAGGTGGCGGCCATGAGAGATTGGCCTAGACCAAAATCTATTAGAGAGCTGAGAGGATTCTTGGGACTCACTGGGTATTGCCTTCGATTTGTGAAGTCATATGGAAGCATAGCATGACCGTTTACAAAATAATTGAAGAATGACAGCTTTGGGTGGAATGAGAAGGCAGAGGTAGCCTTTCTGAAATTGAAAACTGCCATGATAACTGTACCGATGTTGGGACTGCCTAACTTCACACGACCATTTATTGTGGAAACCGATGCCTCCGGATATAGGATAGGGCAATCCTTATGCAAGACCGTCGACCGATTGCATATTTCAGTCAAGTGCTTCCCCAGAGGGCTCAGAGCAAATCAATTTATGAACGAGAACTTATTGCCATTGTCATGGCAATTCAAAAGTGGAAGCACTACCTGTTGGGACGCAGATTCATCGTTCGAACTGACCAACGTAGCCTTAAATTCTTATTGGAACAACGTGAAGTGAATTAAGAATATCAAAAATGGCTTACCAAGCTCTTGGGGTTCGATTTTGATATTGAATATAAAGCGGGAATGGAGAACAAGGCTGTGGATGCACTATCAAAGGTGGATGCAACTGCAACTATCATGGCCACGAGTGTATCCCACACCATGGAATTGGACATAGTCAAAAAAGCTATGAGTGATGACGAGGAATTAGGCACTTTGGTTACCTCCTTGCAGAATGGGCAAGCTGCTGCTCCTAGTTATTCTTTAGTACGAGGCCACTTACTGTACCATGATCGGCTGGTGCTGCCAAGGAAATCACCGCTTGTGCAGTCGGCCTTACACGAAGGGCATGGAGGTTTATTAAAAACTTATAAAAGGGTGGCAGAAACTTTCTTTTGGAAAGGAATGAGGAAGGACATTCAGGCTTATGTAGTTGCCTATGCGATCTATCAACAACATAAGTACTCTACACTCGCACCTGCTGGGTTGCTCCAGCCGTTGCCAATTCCAGACCAAGTTTGGGAAGATATTTCCATGGATTTTGTGGAAGGGCTTCCAAAATCGGAGGGGTTCAATTCCATCTTTTAGTGGTGGACCAATTGAGTAAATATGCACACTTCATTAGGTTGAAACATCCTTTTTCGGCCGCCTCAGTCGCTGCACTCTTTACCAAGGAAATAGTGAAATTACATGGGCTACCTTGTACCATAATCTCTGATCGGGATAAGGTGTTTTTGAGTAAATTTTGGAGTGAACTTTTCAGATTGCAAGGAACCTCATTGAAACACAGTTCGGCCTATCATCCCGAGACTGACGGGCAAATTGAGGTTGTGAACAGGGGAATGGAGACACACCTGAGATGCTTTACATCAGTCAGGCCGAAGCAGTGGTACCAATACTTACATTGGACTGAATATTCCTATAATGCTTCCTATCATGTGGCAGCAAAGCTTACTCCTTTTCGCATCTTGTATGGGCGCGATCCTCCCCCTTTGCTTCGCTTCAAGAAAGGGGTTACAGCTATCTCTTCCCTAGAACAGCAAATGCTGGAACGAGATAAGGTGCTGGAGGAATTAAAAGTTCACTTATATAAAGCACGGCAACAGATGAAGTTGGCAGCAGATAAGCACAGACAGGAGGTTGAATATGCAGTGGGTGATTGGGTGTATTTGAAGATGAGGCCCTACAGGGGCAAGTCGTTAGTAACTCATGCTGATGAAAAGCTAGCCTCGAGGTTTTATGGGCCCTTAGAGGTGTTGGAAAAGGTGGGAAAGTTAGCCTACCGTCTAGCGTTGCCCGAAAACACTCGAATCCATCCAGTTTTTCATGTTTCACAGTTGAAGAAAGTGATGGGAGATGCACTGATTGTAATACCACTGCCCCTACAACTTGGAAAAGACTGGGAACTGCTTGTAGAACCAAAATATGTTCTAAGTTTCAGACACCCAAAGCAGGGAACAACAGGGGAAATGGAAGTCCTAATACAGTGGAAAGGACTCTCGCCTATGGAAGCCACATGGGAGCCATTTGATTTGATCAACCAGCAATTTCCTTCTCTGCACCTTGTGGACAAGGTGACTGCTTTGGGGGCGGGGGGTAGTTGATAAGCCCAAGCCCAAGCCCAAGCCCCAAATTGGGGGGGGGGGTAGTTGATAAGCCCAAGCCCCCAATTAAATTCACATACACAAGATGTAAGGGGACCAGGCAACATGGGGAGATAACTATATGACAGCATGGCACGACAGTAGCTTCTAGAATAAAGCTGCATCTCTCTTTGTAGTTAGGGTGGTTAGCTATTCTGTTTGAGTTGGTTAGAAGAAGGGTATATGTAAGGGTGTGGGGAAGAGTAGACGGGCACCAATTGATTAAGCGAGAAAAGGAGAGTACACCTGAGAGTTGAGCATTGTACCCGTTGTTTGTTATTTCTGATTGAATGTATTCAGTGCATTTTTTTTTTTTTTTTCAGATGGATGTTGGCCTTGTTCGCCCATAGACCCAGCCCCACCCAATAAAGAGGGGACATGTGTCCCCCCATGCCTCATGGGCCTAAAAGCTTGTCTAAATAAAATCTGCATGACAAGGGGACAACAGAAGTCTGCATGGCATGTTGAACAGATCTTTTACTTTTTATGCTGGAACTTTTTGGTTATGGACTTATATTGAAGGCTGCGGATAAGTTTCTGATTTGTGGTATCTGGTAGACCGTAGACAGTGCTTCGATCTGCTTAGTAAGGAAAGGTTGGCCTGGTTATTAATTCTGGTAACTTTATACAGGAGACGATGAAATAATGGGGACTAATAAGCATGCCTATATGCATATATATCTTAAATGGTGAAATGATGCTGCTTATTTTACTACATGGACTCTGTGAACCACAGTTATTTAGAATCCAAGTTTCCGCATCTGACAATGCATCCAAAGTCAAGGAAACAGGCCTTAGCTGTTTACCTCATTATGGCGCTGGAAACTTATTACCATCATAATACACATCAACACTCGGCATCCTCTATATTTCAAAACACACGTGTCAACTGACTACTCTTAGTGAGAACAATTTTATGCATGTCATGTTGGTTAAATAAAATACTTCCTACCACTTCCTTCAAGAACCGTGCTAGACTACTGAGCAATATTTTGCATTTCAAGGGCATTGGGGAAGAAAATTTAACTTGAAAACACTCAAACTCTATATTAGTAATGTTATACTGTGAAGAATTACCTACTGGAGCAGATGTGAAAGTTTTTTCAATATGTAAAATTTTGTAGGTAATAAAAAATAGAACTTAAGCGTTTTGTGCTTCATTATTTGTTATCTGTTGCACGTAGCAATTGATGCAGCAGTACGCTTGAAAACTGTAGAAATGATTTGTGAAGCACTAGAAACGTACTAGCATTTGCTGCCTGTCTCGTTGCCTCATAGAAAGGAGGAAAGGCTTAGGGATTTTAGATCAGGAAGGACCGAGAAAATTAAGGTATCCTTACCAGATTTAGGTTTGCAGTCCCATTAAATATATGTTTTCATTTGAAATGATGTCCAAGATATGTACTTTGCATACAGTTATATGTGCTTAATTCACACACTATTCATGCATTATGGTGCTCTGAAATTGTCTATATATTAATTTGAAAGAGAAATAGCAATATGACCAATAACACTGCGATAGTTTAGCAGGAAAAGTGTGGGAAATGATATTTGGATCCAACAAGAAATGATGACAGTTTGGAGGCAGTTTCATTTTTACTTTCTTTGGTCTCCCTAAAAGGATACTCTTGAAGAATGTACCGTAGAAGCATTTGCATATTGCATGCCATTAAAACAATGTAGCATATTCTTAACTCCAGTCCCAGATGTATCCAGTTTAAATTTTTGTGTAGAAAATCGGTTAATATATCTGAATAATAGTCTGGAAGTGTATAACATTAAGCACCACATACATGACCAACACAAATTTTGTGTTATTCAGCTTTCTCTGACCATGTTTCAGCTGTTTTTTTAGGCTGCTTGCTAAGATAAATACAAATCAACCCTCAAAACTGAATTTTTTTTGTCTATTAATTAAGATCACTTATGATGTGATGATCAAAGTTTTCCAATTACATAGTTATATGCTAATGATGTTATTTGACTCTTAAAATTTATATCTGCTCAATGTAGAGCAAAGATGGTTATTCCTCCACCGGTGAAGCCCGAAAGATTGACAAAATTTCTCAAACCTTATGTTCTGAAGATGCACTTCACAAATAAGTACGTGAGTGCTCAAGTAATCCACACACCCACTGCAACGGTGGCTTCTGCTGCAAGCACTCAAGAGAGAGCCCTGAGGTTGAGCATGGAAAAAACAAAAGAAAATACCCGTGATGTTGCAGCTGCTGCAAAAATTGGCAAGATACTTGGGGAGCGACTAATGCTTCAGAACATACCTGCGGTTTCAGTTGCATTGAAGAAAGAACAAAAGTATCATGGTAAGGTGAAGGCAGTGATCGATTCTTTGAGGGAGGCAGGTGTCAAATTTTTATGAAAACTTCCAGTTTGCATTTCTAGCTGCTTCTAGAATGTCGATGTCTTAGCTTTGCAGTTTGTTCAAAGGAACAATATCGATTGTAATGATTGTCTTTTCTAGGGAAATAAGCTGTACTTGGTAAATGGAATACGAGGATTCTTCTCCAGTTTGGAAGTGTTATTCGGAAATACTAAATATATTTGAGGCTTAGTTTCTCTGCAACTTTATCGAAGAGTTGTAATTTTGATGCATGTTTGATACATTGAATTGGATCGAGATAGCTGGATAACTAAAAATTGCAAGTTTTCAATTTCTCAGACTTTTTGAGTTGTAATATAGTGTATATACTGAAAATTTTCACAGTTTGTGACTCTTCAAAAAGTTCCATTACAAAATTGTACAGAGAGAGAGATCCATGTTTGATAACCATCAATTGAAAGTTCATTTTTTTACATACTCATTTTCAATCACTCATTCACACAATAAAATATTCAGCATATAAAATATTGTTTTGACCAAATAATAACCATCTAACGTGGGCATAATTGTTGAAGTTTATGTCATCATGTAATGCTTCTCGTATTTGATTGCAAAAGCATTCTTACTTTACAATAATTTCAAAAGATTTTATATTTTTAAGGAGAATATTCTATCATTTGGAGAGTATCTATAGATTTAGAAGTAGTCAAACAAGTTCTTTATATTTAACACTTAATTTCACTACTCTCAAAATGTATATATTATTTTTCTCTATATTTTATTTTAACTAGTTTTTCTTTAGACTATTTTATTATTTTTATACATTAAAAGTTGAAACACTTTGAATACATTTAATTATAAAGAGTGAGTGAGGCTCTCCAAACTCGTTCTCTAAATTTAAATGCTAATTTAAATAGTCTCTTTGAGCATAATTTTAAAGATTTATTCTTTAAAATAGAGAACATCTCATATTTAAAGAGTTTTTTTTAGAAATACTCATGTTAAATAAAGTAATTTTTTTTACTGACTTATAAGTGAAAAAATAACGGGTAATTAGCACAAAACATCCCTATCTTTCGATGTTTTTGTGAAAAAGTCCCTGGCTCTTGTTTTTTGGCGGATTACACCATCACTTTTACCTTTTTTGCACAAAATGTCCTTTTGTCAACTCCCCATTAAAATGTTCCGCTAAATCAAAAGGTAATTAGCACAAAAGGTCCTTCCCTTTCAATATTATTGAGCAAAACGTCCTTACCTTTCATTTTTTGGCATAATTAGTACAAAAGGTCCCTACCTTTCAATTTTTAGCATTTTCATCCCTACCTTTCACTTTTCATTGCGAAAAAGGTCCTTCTCATCCATTTTTTCAATAAAATAACGATTTTACCCTCCTATTCAAATAAATAAAAAGAAAAAATGAATAACCAACTGCAATCATAGTCCTTAAATTTTTAAAAAATTACAAAGAAATCATAAATTCCCAACCACCACCACTTTCACAACCTATAAAGCTACCAACTATAAATCAACATAATACCACATTTTTGCCACCATTCCCACCAGACTCTGCACCGTAAATGTGGTTGTTTTGGACAGATTGGTGACCAATACTATAGAGGAGGATATTGGGAAGAGTGAGGTGAGGTTGGTGGTGGTGGAGTCCGATAGGTGTTGTGGCCGAAAGGTAGTGCTATATGCCTATATGGATCTATAGGTGGTGGCTTGGTGGGGTTATGAAAGTGGCGGTAGTGGAAAGTTTAGAATTTATCTGTAGTGTTTTGAAAGATTTAAGACTATGATTACAATTAATTATTTATTTTTCGTTTCTTTTATTTTTGTTTTATTTGAATAGGAAGGTAAAATCGTCATTTTATTGAAAAAATGGATGAAAATGACTTTTTCTGCAATGAAAGGTGAAAGGTAGGGGTGAAAATGCTAAAAAATGAAAGGTAGGGACGTTTTGCACAATAATATTGAAAGGTATGGACCTTTTGTGCTAATTACCTTTTGATTTAACGGAAAGTTGACAGAAGGACGTTTTGCGCAAAAAAAGGTAAAGGTGAGGGTGTAATCAGTCAAAAAACAAAAGGTATGGACGTTTTCCACAAAAATATCAAAAGGTAAGGACGTTTTGTACTAATTACACAAAAATAACTGTATAACTTGTTTGAAAACAAAAATATACTTGGTAAGTCTGATTTACTTAAGCTTACAAAACATAAAATATGTACTTTTTTTTCTATAAACTATAGAGGACTAGCCTGTTTTCGGAGAGCCAGAGAGAAGTTCGATCCTATTGAAAATCTTACAGGTCTAAGTGTATAATTTGTTAAAAGTTTTTCTAAGAAATAAATAAAACTAGTTGTTTAATGAGATTTGTAGATAAAAATTATGTTCAATCAACTAATAATTTTTAAAAAGTTTCATGCCTGTAATTAGGGGCTGACTAGACGACTTAGGTTAGGAGGTCACTCTTTAAAAAAAAAAAATTATATATATATATAAACAACTTTTTTTTCTCAAAATTTAGAGGGTCACTTGACCCTGTAAACCCCCCCGGCCCGCCTCTGGTAACCATCCTTGATAATTTTGATATATCTAAAATCAGTGATAGTCAAATATAAAAGTAAATATAAAAAATATTAGAATGAAGAATTAAAAAGGGTAAAAGAGTGGGAAAAAAATTACATTTAACAGGATTATGAACCCTAAATTAAACCACATTTGGCTAATCTTAAAAAATTATCTATAAATTTTCCAAACAAGGTTTTTATATACTAGTGTACTCCCATGCGCTCAACGTAATATTATTGAACGGTTGTTATAGTACTTTGAATTAGAGTGTACATATTTTTTCATTTTTTTATGTAACAATATGATTTAGTTGAGCATTATGTACAGAAGAGTCAATCCGTAAGATCTATAGGGCAATTAGTGATAGCATTTTTTATTTTTTCAATTTTTTGGTCTTTTTAGGTAAAGGTCACAGGTCGAAACTACCCCCTCTGATTCTCCCTTAATCAAGCTACCCTCTCCTTCTTCAAGCTGAAAAGAGCTAAATAAGCTCGTCTTATATATATATATATGTAAGAACCTAAGAAAATTATTGTATCGTAATACTTACAACTTACAAGTCGTTCTTATTATCTAATAAATCATGTAGTTCTTGTAGAGTAGCTTTTTAGAGGGCATAAAATGTGTATTTTTGACAGTTAGGAACTTGATGACATAAAATGATTATCACTTGTTTAATTTTACTGCCAATGGAATTGATATTTAAACTAAATTAATTATTAACCTGATCACAAATTTTGTTTAAGATTGTATGTATTTCAAAGTAATAATTATCATTTTCATCAAACATAATTACTTGTGAATTTTTATTTTTTATTAATATTTTTTATTTTTTATTTTTTTTGGGGTGGGGGGGGATGGTTGTTTCTCTCTCTACATCAAGTCCTGCAAAACCCAAATCCAAGAAGAATTCAGCGCTAGATACGAAAAAGGTACCATCATGTAATAATACTGATGATGGAGATTGATGACGCCCTTTGAAATATCTGGTTTTGTAGTTGTCTTTGGAACACACGCTAAAGCGCCGTCTTGTTCATCCTTTTGTGATTTAATTAAATTCATTTTCTTGCTCTAAATTATTCGGTAATTTTCAATTCAGAAGTCTAGGAGAACCCAAATTGTTAAAAATTATGGTGAGGAGTTTGTTGGCACGAAGATACAGGTTTGGTGGCTAATGGACAAAATGTAAGTAATTAATGTTGACGGCATGCTTTCCATTGTAATTTATATTCCTGCTTATATTTTCCTTAACCAAATAATGGTTTCATTCTCTGTTTCTTGAGCATTGTATTAAATTGGGTTGCCCCATGTCATGGGAGTGAATTATCTTACCACGCCCCCAAAACAAACATCCCAAGCTTCCGAACCAGGGGAAAAAAGTAATGTGACGTTTATGGACCAACTAGGTAGTAGTATGGAACTCTGTAGAAAAGTTCCATTCTGAGCCTCTTTTTTTATGTTGAACTCTGTAGTGTGTCAGACCCCCCCACCACCCCCGCACCCCAAAAAAAAAAAAATGAAAAAGAAAAAGGACATTGATTTTCTGGGTTGTAGGATGGTTGTTTGCCTTTGCAGAACTTACCCGTCAATGAAAACTCTCTATGCCGGTGGCGCGCATTACTATGCGAATAGCGTAACTTGACAAGACAAAGACGACGAATCTAATTTTATGGCCTATGTCATGGACTGAGCTGAATAAACTGTCGGTCGTACACTCTCCGGTAAATTTTCCACAAATACACAAGCTTTTTTTTTTTTTTTTTCCACTAAAATTTCAGCAATCAATATCATTTTTCAGTTAAAATTTTCTTAAATTGATCTAGAATCACCATATCATTTTTAATCATTAACATAAGTTGTTGCCACGCTCCTGAAATTTTCTGTTCTTTTTCTTTTTCTTCAGCTTCAATTTTTCCAGTTACAATAATTTTATTTTTAATGCTTCATATGAATTTGATCAGCTTTTGCCATGGACAATTCTCATTCAACTCCAGGATGTTTTTATGGTCAAGTGCTGTGTTGGCCTCGCAATGATAGACTGCCTAGCATGAACGTATAGGGCCACGTAGAGTGCTTATCGGATAGTCTTTGCCTTGTTGGCCATTGTCGATAATTATTGATTCCATCTAACATAACTACTTAATTTGATCAGCACGCAATTTATCGCATTCCCTGTTATTATATACGTTAAATCAAAACTGAAAGTTGATTATAAGAAAATTATCGGTCTTAATTCTACTCTTGATTTTGGTGGCAGTGATTTATTGTTTCGATTTTAAGTATATGATTAGTGCCCGCCAGTGTTATCGAAACTAATCCGGGTTCATTCATTTGGCTGGTACTCAGGTGAGAATTCACAACATTCCGAAGAATTGTATGATTTTGGCCTCTATGTTCTAAAATTTTTAACTAGTATGGGGGACACAAACACCCAATTTGGTGTTAAGGGAATTTGAAGGTGCTGAAAAGTTGCAAATTCCTTTCATGACCAGGAAGGATAGCATGAACAAAAAGGAGAAAGTCAACTTTTGGGCTTGATCAAACATTTTAAGATTTGATTAGCAAAGGACTTTGATTGGAATTCTTAAAGGAACTTGAATTTGAGAGTCGAGATTTTATTTTTATTTTTTTTCTTTTTGAAATTTCTTAGTCACTTAATAATTTTAGCTCAGCAAAGCTCGTGTATCTCTTACTACAATGTGTTGGAAAGCCTATAGGTTTGATGAATTGACATGAAACATACTTCAGTGTTTTAGCAATATCTTGATAAATTTCACTTAAGGAATGGGAAGAGGGCAGCCAAATCAGCTATTCCAGAATATTCCAAAATGGGTGAAAGAGATAGGGGAAGTGTCTATAAAATGTGATGTAGGGAAATGGGAGAGGGGACATTGTTTGAGTGAAGTCAGTTAGGATAGGAGAGAATTCCAGGCTTCTCGAATTGCCTGGAGCTGTTATCCCTGTTATTCAGTTCAGTAAACTTGTTAACATTTTCTCAATTACAAATCTGCATTCCAGTACCAATCAATCTGGTCTTGAGCTTCTACTTCTCTGTCTTTGGCAGATCCTTTATCATCCATTAAAGTGTTACAGATTAGAAGAAGCAGGGGACCCTATCATATCTTCTCTTTTGACCTCCGGTACTTAGTAAATGTCTGACATGATTAGGGTAGATTATATCTAACTTGTTAATGCCTCTATGTTGCTGTTACCTTTTTTTGATTAAGCACTGATAGTGATAGCAGGGTTGACTGGCACCCTTCAGTGTAAAATTATCTTCAACATATGGAAAAGGTTAACTATTGTTTTCTAATATTTACATGCATTTTCATGGGCAGACTGATTATTAAATTATTTGGCAGTGGCAAGACCATGTGCAGGTAAATTCTGTACACTGGAAGTTTAATTACTGTTTATATTGATAAAGTGAGTGTTACTTGTATAAACCTTGAATTACTGCTGTATAAAACTGCAATGACAGCATATCAAACTTACATTCAATATATGTATGTGTTTTGTGTATGTATGAATGTACATGCATACTTGATTTTCTTTGTTAGCAAAATTTATCTTTGTACAAGTTCTTATACTCATTACATAGACTTCTATTTTCTAAAGGAAAAAGAATTGCCTGAATGGCAAACTGATTGTAGAAGTAATTTGGCACTCATGTTGATATGAACAATCCTTATTTATGTAGCGTGGTTCCCTTGTGCTGCTGCCAGCCGGTTGCATCCTACATCTTTGAGCCAATCAACAACTTCTTGAATAGTCGGCCTCTTCATAGGGTTCTGGTTGACACACATGCAGGCCACATCAAGCACTTGCAGCATCTCTTCTTCAAAGCCTCTGCCTCTCAGGAGTGGATCAAAGATCTCTTCTTGTTTTCCTTCATTCCTCATTTGCTGAACCCATGCAACTAATTCTCTTGCCATCTTTGTCTTGAATAGTTCCACTGGCCTCTTTCCAGTCAATAGTTCAAGCATAACAACTCCAAAACTGTAGACATCCCCTCTCAATGTGGCTATCCATGATTGACTGTATTCTGGGGGAATGTAACCAAGGGTACCAACTAATTCGGTGGTTACGTGAGTATGATAAGGAAGAATCAGCCTTGCCAACCCAAAATCTGCCACATGTGCTTCAAAGTTATCATCCAGAAGTATGTTACTAGATTTTAGGTCACGATGCACAATATGTGGTTCGCAAATCTGGTGCATATAAGCCACTCCATGACTTGTCCCTTGAGCAATCTTCAGTCGCATTGGCCAACTGAGTTGGGATGCTCCATCAGGTTTCTCATGCAACCAGTAATCCAGGCTCCCATTCTCCATGTAGGAATATATTAGCAATCTATAGCCATCATGAACACAGTAACCCTGTAGAGTAACCAGATTCTCGTGTTGGGCAGTGGATAAAGCTTCAACCTCGGCTTTGAATTCCCTTTCCATCAGGCCCATATCTCCTGAAAGTTTCTTAACTGCCAGCCTGGTACCATCTACTAAAGTTGCTTTATATACCAAGCCGAAGCCTCCACACCCAATTATGTTCGACTGGTTGAAACTGTCTGTGGCTTTCAAGATTTCAGAGATTGTTAGCTCCATTGGTTTATTTGTATTGTTAGGAAACAGTATGACAAGGCTGGTATCATTAGCAACTTCATTAAATACTCCAGAAGAATTGAAGGATACCATATCCATATCAGTTTTCTCGGGGTGACTTTTTGGCCGGATCCTCCTCTTTGAAAATACCCAACATATCAGCATGGCAAAAGTGAAAATGCCAGAAAAAATCACGAGGGTGATTACAATGATATTTCTCTTTGTTCCTTTCCTTTGTGGTGACTGATGGGTAGTTTCCGATTGACCAGTGCAAGAGCGCGGCAAACTTTTACCACACAAACGTGAATTTCCTTCAAAGCTTGAATTGGGAAATGTGTCAAACTGAACTCCTACAGGTATGGGACCTTCAAGATTGTTGTATGCAACATTGAAAGAAGACAGAAAGTGAAGATTTTTGAGCGATGCAGGAATTTGACCAGAAAGATGGTTGCTAGAGAGGTCCAGTTTTTCCAAATCAGTAAGATTAGATATTGTGTCCGGAATGCTGCCAGAGAAATTGTTATCACTGAGGTCCAGGGAAACAATAAACTTCAATTGGCCAATCTCAATTGGGATGGTACCACTGATACTGTTACTTCTGAGGTATATTGCTGGTGGCAGGTTAGAGAGCTGGTTGTATTGCAGATAGGACGCATTATAGGGCAGAACAAAGACAGGCAATTCTAAATAACTTTGTTCTACTTGATCTGAAGTTTTTTGTGTTGCTAGTCTTCTCAGTTTTATGAGTTCCATAGTGAAGTATCCCGACAGAAGGTTTTGGGACAAATCCAAGTAGTAAAGGTTTGGCAGATCCCCAAACCAACCTGGGACAAAGCCCGTCATGTTGTTAAGTGATAGGTCTAGAACCCCCAGCTTATCTAGTCTAGACAGCCACCTTGGAATTTGACCAGTGAATCCACAGCCACCCAAACCGAGGACTTTAAGATTTTGGAACTCGCCATCCCTTATCAAGTTTTCATCTCCTGGCAGTGGTTCATTGTAAAAGTTTTTCGACAGCATTAAAATGCTAAGGTTCTTGCAGCCTGTTAGGATGCGCATTGCACTGGTGATATTGTTTAGGCTATTATTAGAAAGGGATAAAAAGGATAGAGATTGTAAAGCCATTATGCTAGGCAAAACCTCTCCATTTAAACTATTAGTGGCCAAGCGAATTGCAGCCAAATTCTTGCATAAAAAAAGGCTCGCTGGCAATCTACCAGTGAAGAAATTATTCCCCAGGTCAATTGATCTAAGCTGAATGAATTTTGAGAAATCAAAAGCAGAAAGTTCACCTTCAAGGAGATTGACCCTTAAACTCAGCGTTTTAAGTCTCGTACAGTTCGTAAGAGATTGAGGCAGAGTGCCCTTTAGTTTATTATTGTGAAGCAACAACTTTTCCAAATTGGAGAGCATCCCAATATCTTGAGGAATCTTTCCTGTCAATTCATTACCAAAGAGAGCAAGGGTTCTGAGGTCAATGAGGTTAGTAATGCTCCCATCTATCACTCCAGAGAGCTTATTGGCAGGCAAGTAAAGTTCTTGCAGCACTGAAACTGTGTAAATATCACTAGGAATTGCTCCCGAAAGATTATTGAAACCTGCTCGTAGTCTCAACAGATTGGAACACTGGCCAAAACCTTGTGAAATCGAGCCTGAAAAGTCATTATTGGAGAAATCAAGATGCTCGATTGAGGGCGAAAATCTGCAGACAGATGAAGGGATTGAACCAGAGAAGCTGTTGTTGCTGACATTAAATCTTTGCAAATTTAATGCTGGCTGGAAAAATGAAGATTGGGTTATCCCATAAAAGCGGTTGCTGGATAAATCCACTGTTGTGGCAGTACTCATCAGCTTATCAGAATCTGATAACTGCCCGGTGAGACGATTATGGCTCAAATCAATGATCACAAGGCGGTTCAAGGCCGTAAAAAATCCATCCGGGATAGGTCCAGAGAGCCAATTCCGTGACAGATTGAGTTGAGATAGATGGCTGAGGTTTACAATAGAGGGAGATATGGTTCCAGCAAGCCCTTTCGACGGTAGCAATAGACTGTTCACCCTGTCAATCTCATCACACCCAACTCCTTCCCAGCTGCAGCAATCAACCGACAGAGACCAATTCAAAGGAGATGGAGTATTAATACTCTGGTTGAATGATGATAAAGATTCTCGATCAAGTTGATTACATGAGCCATGACAGGTATATGCAGAGCAAGAAAGAGTCACCACTACTACAATTAACACCACATCCAAGAAACAAAAATCGAACAAGGATGAGGACGAGGAAGAAGAACAATGGAATGGAGACGAGAGCATGGCCGAAATAAGATGATTATATGTAGGATTTGATTCCTTGAAGATGGGTCTATTGCTTCTGGTGATTATTAGGAAAACAACAGAAAATGAAGACAGGTGATGGTACCAAAGATACTCCAATCAATCATGTGGGTTCGTCCAGTTCTTTTCATCCCAAAAACAAAAATCGAACAAGGATGAGGACGAGGAAGAAGAACAATGGAATGGAGACGAGAGCATGGCCGAAATAAGATGATTATTAGGAAAACAACAGAAAATGAAGACAGGTGATGGTACCAAAGATACTCCAATCAATCATGTGGGTTCGTCCAGTTCTTTTCATCCAAGTTTGCTCAGGCTTTAGTCTTCTACCCGCCAAGGGAAGAAGGGGCAGAGGGTAGAGAGGAAGATAAAGTGGGTGATGTTAAAATGGAGCAATATTAAAAGTTGAGTCTAAATTATCAAAAAAAAAGAAGCGTGCTATTGGGACGGCTGGCTGGTGGACTTTCTTTATGTTGTCCTTGTGCCCCCGTTTGATCCCATTAAATTTTATTTTATTTTTTTATCTTAATTTCAATAACACAATTTTTCATAAAATAATTTTACACATAAATCGAAAATTTTTCCTTCCTTTTTAATCACTCATTTTTTTAAAAATACTATTCAATCCATTTTTATTCAAACAAAAATGGGGGCCAAACTGGGACATAATTAGTTTTTATATGAAACGGTAATTTTATAAATGATTTAAAAATTGGGATCAAGGTTCGAGTCACAAGAGTGTGATGTCAAGGGATTTATCGTTGGAACTTTTAGAGCGTCTCTAATTGTGGTGTAAAATTAGTATTTTCAAAATTACTTTTACATTTTCATTTACATGCTAATGGACCCAAATTCAAATTCTGTTTAAATGAAAAGATTTAAATCCATTTTTTTACGTCCTCTGTTAGGAAAAAAATGACAATTTATACCTTTATTTACATTTCGTGTCGAAAAATACAATTTATCTCATTTGCATCTCTCCATTTGAGAGATTTTCAATCACTTAGGAAATCTAAATATCTATTTTACATTAGATATTGGTTGGATCACAAAACAATAATGGTCAAATATTGATTTTTAGATAAAATAGTTAAAGTTTGAAATTACAGATATTTTATCATATAATAGAGAAGAGAAAGCGTGTATTTTAGGTGGTTGGTTGCGGGGGAAATTCCACAGGCTCCCATTGCAACTTCCTTGTTGAATATATATTTTTCCCTTTATAAAATCATTGTATTGACCACTTGTATGTAACACAAAAAAGATGATATTGGTGGTTGTGACTGATGCTATTTAGCAAATATTAAATGTTACGCCCCTCACTAACTCCATATCAGCGCCTCATACCAACTCCTCAACTAGGCAACACATGTCCTGATGTCCAGCCGAAGTGGTTCTGAGGTGATATGAGCTCATTATGTCTCGGCCGAACCTTATGATTAAGCACAGTCATAATCCAAAATGATTGCCGAAGCGCTCACCCCTTTACCAAAGTATAAGTGGATCAAAGGTACCGCAGCAGAGACCTCTCCACTGTTAGTTTCAAAGAGAGATCTGTGTCAGGAGCATTTTTTACCTTCATGGATTGATTGATATGACATCTTAACTTTATGTCAACTCACAACTCAGATGAATTAATTACCCGTCCCCTCTAAATGCAGTTGATTGACGCTTATGAGTGAACGCCTTGCACCGTCAGATGCATACACGTGTCCCACATCCAATGGTGCCTATTGCCTATAAATACCAAAGGGTTGGCAATGGATAAGGTAATGCAACTCTTACTAGAATAACTTTGCACTCTACACAAAGTATAATCTTTCTCCACCCACTCTTGCACAATTTCGGCACCATTCCGATCACCGTCGACTGATTGGTTCCGGTCATGTACGTTTGACTGCTCGTTATTGTACACAGGGAAAGATACGTGGAGTGACTCTCAGTTGGCCACGTGGAAGGTCCAAATCGTGAAGTAAACATTAAATAACCATACGTATTGTAAAATGAAAATTACTTAAACATTGATTATTTGGTGCCAAGTTTGTTCAGACGCTGCATGACTTGTGACATTTCAAACCTTAAATTAATTTCTCATAATATTTTTGCCAATCACGACTCGCCACTCTTCAAAATCTACATTCATGACGATTCATTTATCTAACTGAATAATTCTAAGTCTTTTACCGAAAGTAGCCATTTTCAAGTCGTTCGATCCTTAACGAAGTTTGTCAAGACAAGGTGTTTGCTTTTATACCAATTGTAAGAATTTAATAATGTAAGGGTTGAACGGTTAAAATTTGACCATAATTGGTAGTTCTATTCTAAATGGCTTGGAAAAACCCATTTATAGTGATGGAATGGGTGAGGAGTCTTTGGGATGCATCATGAGGTATTTTTGTCATTGTTGGCAAAGAGAAGAGATCCAATACGTTAGTATACATATGAAATAAGGGTGATGGGCTGGCATTTTCGGTAATGTAATGTCCATTTGTACACGTCGAATATCTTATTTGGTATCCTACGTAAGAACACGTGCAATTTCTCCGTCGACCCGCTAAATCAATTTTCTAATACATTATTTCAAAATCAATTACAACTGCATGTACCAAAAAGGTATTCGAAATTTGGATTACAGGTTGCAGTCGATACTTGAAGTGCACAATTGCTATGTACAATATTGAATAGCCCTCGTTTTTAAAGTAAAGAAATTTATCGGAGCACTTTCTTTTATAAATGTTATTTGTCATCTCGATGCAGCTATTCTGAAAATTATTAACAGTAGTATGATTGAAAGTAAATTGTAAAATGTCGGATAGTAGGTTAGAAATTGTTGATCATTTGATTAGATAAGCGTACTTGTTTACATCAACTTTGATATTAAAATGGCCTAGGAAACAAAATGTTGGCTAAGACATGAGCAAAGCATTTAGGCAATTTATACAAGTCAAACAAAAGACATCGACATATATATCATTGACTATACAACAATTTGGATATATAGCCCCACTCTTGTTAAAAAAAAATAAAAAATAAAAATTTATTTTTGAACAGTGTATTGATAGAAAATGTGTAGTTAAAAAATAAAGAAAATTTTCGAATTTACGTATAATATTATTTTAATAAAGAATGTGATTGAAATGAGGTCAAATCACTGATAAAAAATGTATTTTTTATGAAAATAATGGGGCTCAAACAAGGGCATAGTAGTAGATACGGTCAAACAATTTAAGTTTATGAATTTATTATTGTTCAATACAGTACAATCCATGTCGTGGAATAAATTAATAAATGGTAAACTCAATTATGATGCAGTTAAATTGTTTGAGATGTTTTATATGAGGGAAAATTTATTGGTCACTCGATTTACGGATATATTTCATTATGATCACCCAACTTTAATTTGTTTCATATCAACCACTCGAACTTCCACTTTTGTTTCAATTTGAATACGGTAAATAACTAAAACTAGTAGCCACTCTGGCTGCAGAGTATGTGACTAGATAGTTATTAAAACTTCAACAAGAAATTATGGATAATGTTATTTAACCTTATTAACTCCAGTTTATGTGATGTTAGGTGATAAATTAAATGAAATGTAGAATTAAATTATCAATTTAAATTCACTTATCCTTTAATTTCATATTAGCGACACATAAACTGAAATTACCCAATGGGACTAAATAACATTACTCATTTCCCTTTCGATTGGCAAACTACTCATTTGATTGCCAAACAAGTGCCAAATCACACATTCTTTTGGCCACGTAGGATTGACCACTAGTTTTGGTCATGGTAGAAAACAAATGGCCAAATTGAACAAAAATATAAGTTGGTGAACAAATTGAAAAAAATAAAATTTTGATGACTAACACAATAAAGTTATAATTTGGGTGACCGCCAATGAAACTTCTCCCGAGGCATTAATTTTTCTTTCTTTCTTTTTTTTTTTTTGAGAAAGATAAAATAGATAAGGCTCGTTTGGCCGAGCTTCTATTTTTGCTTCTACTTTTTTGTACAGCACTTCATGATGAAGCTATCTTAATTGACACTTAAAAACTGACTTCTAAAAGAGATTCATCTTCTAGATGTACTCTTAGAAGAAACCACGTTGAATTAATTTTCTCTAAAAAAAAAAAATTTAATTAGAAGAACCATATTTTATATAATTAATCAAACGAATTTAATATCAAAAACTTCCTTCAAAGTTCTTAAAAAATCTTGCCAAACGGGTTCTAAATCTTCAAAAAAAAATAAAAAAATATAAGTAAGTGATATCAAGAAAGTAAGAACATATCTAACCCAACGCACTTAGGATGATGCTTAGCTCTTTAGAGCATTATCGCACATATATAATATAAAATGTCACGTATTTGGTAAATTATTCACCCATCATTTACCAAGCAATGCAATGGTCGGCCAATTGCACTAAATTATAACACCACTTACTCAAAGTCAATTATGATTTCCCTTTAAGAATTTCAATGAGCATAACTACTTTTATGATTACAACAAAAGGTTCCAACCGTTTATAAACAATTGAAGCTTGAATTCTCTCGTGTTGTTCTTACACTAGTTAAAAGATTCAAATTAATTAAATCCCTGTTCAATAAATATTATTTTAGAATATATTTTGTGAAAAGCGTTTTAAAAAAAAAAATTAGGAAAAATTATGCACTCACGAGCAAAATTATTTTATTACAAGGGTCTGTAGTTGAAAATGAGGTTTTAAAAAAATCACGATCAAACAGGGCTAAATCTCAAACAATTATAACAAAATCCCAATTATAACAAAATCATTCTCTCCCGTCCCACAAAACTGTGTTTATTTTCATTTGCACACAGATTAAGGAAATTTAGTTAATGTATTTGAAAATGTATTTTTTTACTATTTTTTCTAATATATCCCTATATTAAATAATAGTTTAAATAGGAGTAGTTTATACAAGATACATTGAATAAGGGTATATTAAAATATTAAGAAATCAAAAATACTATCAACAAGGAAAGTTGCCTATAATTTAGGACGGTCCAAAAAAAAAAAAGTAAGCATATCTTTACGTAAAAAAAAAGAGTATTAATTTTCACTTTTGACTTATGTTCTTCGTCTAATGTGTTGTACTTAATCACATCAATCTTATAAGGACACATTCTTAAAATATATGCTATACATATCCAAACTAGATACCATCATTAAGATGTTTACTTCCCCATATATATGTTGTCATCAAGCACTTAAAAATGTGTTACCATATGTTAGTCTCCAAGTTGCTTGGATCCGTCACAAAGCCAATTATGTGTATAGGGAACATGTTTCAAGGGCAAAGTTAGGGAAGGAAATTGAAAATTAACATTACTTATAATTTCATATCTAATTACCTCATTTTGTTTATATTTTCAAAATACCCTTTTTGGTCAATATCTTCTTTCTCAATCCATAACCACCCCTTCCCAATATTTCTTCATGGAAAAACTTAAGATTGAACTCCTTAATCTTTCGATTAGTGTGGTTTTTAACTTCTCAATCTTCAAATGTAGGGTCTTGGATCCTCACATTTTTTAAATATGTGAACCCAAATTCTCACATTGTGAAAACCATTATATGCACGAAAAGGAGTAGGTGCGATGACAAGAGCAGCAAAGTGCAATTGTGCTAATTTTAATAAAATTCCCTTGTTTGGTTCTAATTTTAACATCAAATCAAAGTCAACAATTAATTTTAACTATACATTATTACATAAGGTCCATAATTTTACAACCACACGTTTCCTTAACGTTTATCTAAATCTATAAAAACTCAAATTTTAATCAACATCAAACAACGGCTTAATCTACGCTCCCGTTTGGCTCTCATTAATTTTCATTCCATTACATTTCATTTTTCTCTCTCCTATTTTCAACAACACAATCTTTAATAAAATAAAATTACATGTAAATCAAAATCTTTTTTTTTTTTTCAACAACTCATTTTCAAAAAAACATTCTTCCACAAATTTTCATTTCTACAAAATGGGGGCCAAAAAAATACCCACACATTCTCATCTTGGATACATTTGTCATTGTCTTTGGTAAACAATTCCAAGAAACATAAATATATGGTTGGTACTCTGATTTTCATATTCATACCAGTTGGCAATTATGAGGGTGACTAAAATAAAGACAAGCTAAACAAACTTTTAAATTCAAAAATTTTATTATGCCATTATCATAATTACTCAAATCTGACTAGTCAAATGCTTTATTCAAACTGAATTTGGATAAAAAAAAATAATAAATAATAAAAATAAAAAATAAAAAAAATGAACCAAGCATGAACAACAGGAATGCATTTCATAACAAAATAATTCTTAAAGAATGAACAAAGATATCAAAGATTACAAGCTCCAATTTACTTTGCGTCCAACCTACCTTCTTTTTCGTATCAAGAACCAAAAAAACAGCTTTCTATAATGCTGGTGAATGTCGGTTTGGATCAAACAACATATAACAAAGATGAATATACGAGACTCAAAATCTACCGGCTCAAGGATATGGGCTTCAAAAAATTGCGCTTCTGCTGGCAATGATAATCTTCTCCCTCAATCTTTCCTGTACATTCCATAGGGCCGAAGTTTTACAAAGACGGTTTTGTTTATAGAGGGAATGTCACAGCTCTAGCTGTTTGTTGAGCCAACCCACACTTATAAAACAACAGCCTTCCTTCTCCAATCTTAGTCATCATCTGCACAAAGTCAAAATGAACAAACTATTAATCCCAATTTGAGTTAAAACTAAGAGCATATTTGGGTTTGCTTTTTTGGCAGCATATCTTAAAAACGACCTCTTTATGTGCTTTCAAGCACACCCAAACATGCTCTTAACCAATATTTGGATGTCATGCTTGAGTCATCTTCGTGTTGTAGAAGTAGACAATTCAGGTTTTAAGAATATCGTAAGACAGAGAGCAAGATATCGCTGAAAGACACAGGATACTTAAGCTTATTACATATAAAAGTAAGTCTAAGGTCAGAGCTTTATATTCCATTTTTAAATAAATAGAAAATGCTCTATATTAGTGGTTCAACTTAATATTAATTCAAGGTTAACCGGGAATAGGGATTGATTTCCTTCGATCATCGTAGAGCATTACCAAGAAGCAGAATTATTGTGCTAATAAGAGTCGGAAATGGTATAGAAAGATATTGAAAGGATGTTATAAGATTAATGTTGAACTTGATATATCTTGCAAGAAAGAGTCCAAAATAGAGCATGGTGTCTCTTTCCAGAACAATTTATTTGTTCCAGGCATATTCTAACCCCCACCCCAAACTCGGGTTAAAACTCGAGGCCACAATTTCAATGTAACCAGGCAGTAGTAGCTAATACTTTATGTACGCAGGAAAAGTTCAACGAAAAGTAACGTAAAACTCTGTGCACAATAGAACGCTAAACGTGCTCACCGTTTGATGGATCGACGTGCACAAAGAAACTTGCAGCAACAATGAGATAGCATAGAATAAGCATCAAACCTTTAAAATAGTTTGATTTTCCTTCCTGCATCAACATAAGCAACAGTGATGAAGTGATCACTATGAAAGCTCCATTTCATTTTTTAATATATACACGAGAAAATAGATGTACAGCTCATCTTATACTTCATACATTTTGGACAGGAGGCATTGAGAAAACACAATAACATCAGAAGATAATTTGATTGAAGTACCTCATCAACTCAAAGATCGAAAAGAGTTCTTGCATACACATTATATAAATAACATTACCCCCTGGATGGTAGCCAGGAAAGGAGAGAGGGAAGAACAAACCTGAAGCATAAAAGCCACCACTAACACTGTGATAAATAGTGTAGCAGTTTCGAAGAGTTGGAAATTCAAGTCCATAGGCTTCCCCATTATCCATCCAACAATTACACAGAATGGTATCTGCATTTATGAGAATAAAAGCTTACTAAACCATTCAGAAATTGAACATTAAAAATGATGACCAAAATAGATGCAAGGCATTACCACAAACATTGATATTTGGGTAGATGATCCAATTGCAACTCCAAGTGTGATATCCTGTAAAATGACGAGTTAGTGAATTGAACCACAAAGAAGAAATTGTTTGGGCAGTTTCTATGGTTTCTCAACTCACAAGCTTGTCCTTCATGGCAAACATGATAGCACTTGCATGTTCTGCAGCATTACCCACAATTGGAAGCAAAATAACACTTATAAAAGCCACTGGCATGTTCATCGCTTCAGATGCTCCCTGAAAAATTACCGACAATGTAGTCAGACAGCTGTTCAAACAAACTGATGGTCACACAACATTTCAATGACCATTCGAAACAACTGCCACCCATCAAATACGGAAAGAGGATTCACTTCTAAAAAAAACAAAAAAAATAAAACTAAAATTCAGAATGTAGCTTGAAAAGTGAGTAAAGGTAGAGTCTAGTGAAGAACTAAAAGTTCGGATTTGTATGGATGACAAAAGTAAGCAGGATGTATATTGTAAATAAATTTGAGTAAATATCAGTGAAATGTTTCCTTAACCTTGGCCCAGCTAGTGAAGCTTCCCAATTAACAATAACTCGATATCCCATCAAATTACCAATGGTTTTGCACAACCGTTCTCTAACTCCACAAAAATTCCAATATTTCATAGATTGTAAACATATTCATTCTGCTAGCATAATGACTACGCCCTTGTTTGAGCCCCATTTTTCCAAAAATTCATTTTTTTCGAAACTCATTTTCAACCACACATTCTCCAATAAAATAATTTTATAAGTAAATCAAAAGCTTTTTCCTATTTTTTACTGTGCAATAATACATTTTTTTTCCCAAAATGGGGCTCAAACAAGGGCTAGAAAAATTAAAGGAAAGGACCATGCCAAATTTTATGATCTTCATTGGTCTCCAGTAAAATAATTCTTGGTGATAAACAGCAATTTCACATCAGCAATTCTTAATTCATGAGTTGTACGGAGGCCCTTTAGTGGGTTGGCTTCATCTGTAGAGTGAGTGGTAGGTGGAGCTTCTAAGTAGTTAATTGAAGATGGAGACAAATCAAGGCTTTTGTACCAAGGGAATGAGGGCTGTGCTGCAAAGATCTCCAATCTGAACCTCCTCATCCACTCTCCCCTCTCTCTTCTCTAGGTACTATTACATGGGCATAGGCTAATAAAACCTAGGAAAACCTCATAATTGTTCAATATAATGATCCAAAGACTACCTTACCAGTCTAATGCATATTTTAACAACATTTTTACGTCTACAAATAGTAGAGCAGAAATATGACAAAGGCGTAGCTCAAACTCATGTCTTAATTTATTAAAGAAAAACTTGCTGTCATTATTACTTTTATCGATATTGCATAAGTAACACGGGTAAAAAATCATTAGGTCAGCTACAAAGTTATATGATATTTCATTAAGGTTAGCAAAAGAGTTTATGCTTTAATGCATTGTGACAGTACTAGTCTTTTTTTGTCTCATTGTTCATCCTTTTTTTTTTTCCTTTTTTTTTGGTGGATGGAAGTTTGGGAGAGAATGTAGTATATAACCTGTATGGCATCAACTAGATACCCAGACAAAACTGATATGGACAGTGTCAGCATAGCAAGCCACCCAATTGCTTCCCACTGGGTAATCTCAGGGGCCTCATCTTCTACAGAATCTTCTTCATTATTCTCCCTCGGCTGTGACAAATGCCATAGAAATTTAACCAGGTCAATGAAATCCATAGTCTAAATAAATCTTTTGCAAATGCATGCGTTGTTTTTTAAGCCAGTCAAGTTCCAATTTCATAAAATCTTCAAAAGATAAATTGAAAAGCATGCATGATATCTTATGCAATACTTATGTTACAAGATCTCTGGTACACTATCAGTTTTAACAAAGAATAAAAATGAGATACGTACCTCATCAACAGAACTATAAAGATTTGTTTGACTCTTGAGCTGAAAGAAAAGATAGCTTGCATATGCAATCAGCATTATGCAGCTGCTAAATCGTGAAAGAGCTAGCTCTGACTTGCCTTTATGCACTTCTGTATGAGTAAAGTGCAGAACTGCTGGAAATAATAAACCCATGACGGCCATTAATAGCAATCCTGAGTTCACCAGAGCAGCTGCCTGAAACAATTTGACACATATTAGCATTTCTGTACTCAGGCTAGGGGGAGAAAAATGACAGACACAGTGGATTCCTGCTTCCATGGACAAAGAAAGAGCTCACTCCATCAAAATTTCAATCATAAATATATTAGTCAGAATAGCACCACCTTATTGAAATTCTGTATTTTATGTTTATGAACCACCCCACCACAGAAGAAGGCACATCCAAGCACCAACAGCATATTGGACAAGATGGAACCCAGTAATGACTGCTGAACGACCCTCATCATACCATTCTTCAACGCATATATCGAAATTATCATCTCCGTAGCGTTGCCAAAGGTTGCGTTTAGAAGGCCTCCAACTGCAGTTTCAACAAAAAAATTATTGATGATGAAGTGAAATCTACTCGTTTAATTATATAATAATCTGTTTGTAATTCACCGAGAGATGAAATTGCTTGTTGATCAAAAGAATGTATAATCATGCTTCTGGAATTTTTTTTTTTTGAGCAAATAATAGAACAATAAGGAAAAAATATTGAGACATGTCTGTAATGAACGAGCTGACACAAGTTGATTTCTAGCATACATCAAATATTAATGTTTCCAACTCTTGCTGAAATGATATTTCCAAGTCAAACTGCATTCAATTTGGCAAATAAGAGATGACCACAGCCCCATTAAGCAATGTAAATAATCTAGCATAACTAACAAGACAATCTCCCGAAATCCAATTTAACTCCTTCAAAATGAATCATTGGTATCTCTTAGAATGATATCTCAGCAGACTTTTGACAATCTCATTTTTTTCATCTGCTCCATGTCAAGTGGGTCAAATTGATTCAAAAGACAGGTGACAATCTACCCTTATCTGTTTCCTTGCTAGTAAAATTTGTTCTTTAGTGAACTTCACATAATTTGCCATCGTAGGATATAATTAATCAGTAACAACTATACAATAATCAGTAGTTCCTTCAAGAGTTTCGGGATGTCTTCCTGGAGGACCTACCTGACCAGTTACCTCCTCTACGGGACATTTAACATGCCATAGGTTTCGTCCCAAGAGAGTCCCTTTCAAATTTGCCTCATTATATGATGAATTCTACCAAGCAGACTGAACTCTAGAGGCTAGTAGATGAACTCCTTCACAAAGGGTTTATCCAAGAGAGTTTAAACCCTTTTATAGTCTCTGTCCTATTGACTCCTAAGAAGGATGGTTCTTGGAAAATGTGTGTGGATAGTCGCCATCAATAGGGTCACGGTGAAGTATCGCTTTCTCATTCCTAGACTTGATGATATGTTAGATATGATGGTTGGTGCTACAATATTTTCTAAGATTATTTGAAGAGTGGATACCATCAGATTAAGATACATCCAGGTGATGAGTGGAAGACCGCTTTTAAAATGAAGATGGTCTTTATGAATGATTGGTCACGTCTTTTGGATTAAGCAACGCTCCGAGTACCTTTATGCGGGCAATGACACAAACTCTTCGACCTTTCATAGGTAAGTCTCTTGTTCTCTACTTTGTTGACATTCTTATCTATAGTAAGACTAAAGAACAACACCCAGCCCATCTCACACAAGTTTGTTTTAACCTTCGTTCAATAAAATTGTATGCTAACGTCAAGAAGTGCTCTTACTTCACCGATAGAGTCATTTTCCTAGAATTCATTGTATTTTTTTATAGGGATATCTACCGACCCTGCAAAAATTTAGGCGATTGTTGACTGGTCTGAACCTAAGACTATTCATGACGTTAGGAGCTTTCACGGCTTAGCTACATTTTACCGTCACTTTATCAAGGAGTTTAGTACCATCATGACGCCTATTACAAAGTGCATAAAGAAAGGGAAGTTTCAGTGGACACAAAAGGCGGCTAAGGCTCTTAAGTTAGTCAAGAAGGGAATGATTGAAGCTCCTATCATGCATCTTCTAGATTTTTCTAAAGTCTTTGAGGTAGAGTGTGATACCTCTGGGGTAGGAATAGGTGAAGTCTTGAGTTGGGATCGTCACCCTGTTACCTATTTCAGTGATAAGATGCCAAACAACGCTACTCCACTTACGATAAGGAATTATACACGGTTGTCCAAGCTTTGCGCTATTGGCGTCATTATTTGCAACCCCAAGAGTTTGTTCTCTATTCGGACCATGAAGCCCTCCGTCACCTTAACTCCCAGAAAAGGCTAAACTCCAGGCATGGTCGCTATATTGAATATTTGCAGGCCTATTCTTTTGTCTTGAAGCATAAGAAGGGCGTGGAGAACAAAGTGGTTGATGCTTTAAGTCGTCGTGTCTCCCTTTTTCGATCATGAACATCAAGGTTTTGAAAGACTTGAGGAGGATTATGAAACGTGTCCTAATTTTAGGGATATCTTTCTTGTGCAAGATGAATGATGTGACACTATAAATGGTTTTCTTCTTGAGAAGGGTTACCTTTATAGAGCCAATAAATTGTGCATCCCTCAAATTTCAGCGTGGGATTTCATAGTGTGGAAGATTCATGCGGGAGGCTTAACTAGTCACTTTGGGCATGATAAGACCATAGAAGAGGTTGAATGCCAATTCTATTAGCCTAGTTTGAAGAAAGATATTACTAAGATTGTTAATACATGTAACACTTGTCAATTGGCTAAACAAAAGAGGCAAAACACGAGTCTATACACACCTTTTTCCCGTCCCTAATTGTCATTGGCAAGACGTTAGAATAGATTTTGTGTTAGGACTTACACGCACCCCAAAGAAACATGATACTATCTTTGTGGTCATTGATCATTTCTCGAAAATGACCCATTTTATCCCTTGTAGGAAGACCTCAGATGCGTTCAATGTTGCTAAGTTGTACTTTAATGAAATTGTCAAGTTGTATGGGCTTCCTAAAATAATTGTGTCAAATAGAAATGTTCGTTTCACTAAACATTTTTGGAGAACCTAGAGGCCAAAGGTTGGTACCAAATTGAAATTTTCTACAGCCAACACTCTCAAACTGACGATCAAATAGACGTGGTTAACCGTAGTCTTAGTAATTTGCTATGATGTCTAGTCAGAAAAAATCTTAAAAATTAGGATTTGATTCTTCGTACAGCGCAAATTGCATATAACAGCTTCATGAATTGGTCATTAGATATGAGTCCATTTGAAGTTGTTCATGGTGATAAGCCTAGGAAGCCTTTAAATCTCATTCCAATGTACCCGCATGCTAGAGTGTTTGAGTCAGACGAGACATTTGCACAACACCTTCATGATTTGTATATTGAGATCAATAAACAACTTGAAGCAAGTTATGCATCATATAAACTCTGAGCTGATTTGCATAAAAGACATGTTGAGTTTAACATTAGGGATTACGTTATGGTCCAAATTAGGCCAGAGCGGCATCTACCTGGACCTACCTCCAAATTGCAAGCCTGTAGTGCTGGTTCTTCTAAAATTTTAAAACAAGTGGGTCCAAATGCATATATTGTTGACATCCCACCACACCTTGGATATTACTCTACTTTCAATGTTGAAGACTTAATTGCTTACAAAGGTCATTTTAATCTCTTCGATGATCCTCTTTTACCTCCTTCTGTGGACCTTGATCTTGATTCTTTTGCCACTTCTAACCTAATATCACCTCTCATAGTACACAAAGATAAAATTGATACTATTTTAAATGAAAAGACTGTGTTAACTAATGATGGAGCGGTTCAACGCTTCCTTGTTCATTGGGTTGATTGACAAGATTCTGACGGTATATGGATCTCCAGAGAAAAACTACAGCAATTGGACCCAAATTTATTGGAGCTTTAATGAAGTCAGCAAGATCTTCCTCGACCAAGATCGCCTCACATCCACTCAGGGGAAGATAGTGAGGACACTAGATTCAGACCTCCATTGACACATTTCTACGGACATAAAAAAAAATTGCCCAACCACTCAGCTTATGGTTGGGAGATTGACTACAGCTTCTCATGATCTATCTATGCGACATTGTCGAGTTTTTTCTCCCACCCCATGAGAGTTGATTAGGACATCCGTGTTACTTATTTTCTAGCTGGACTTTATTTATTTATGTTTTAAATTTTTATTAGGCTTGTATAAAAGGTTTGGCCCAAACCCGATCTCTTTAGGGTTTTGTTTCGCTATTTAAGTTTAGTTGTCGTGGAATTAAAATAGTTGATGAATGAATAAAATTATTTTGGTGGCTTGTGGCAATTTTCTACCTTTTCTCCATCTTTCTTCTATTGGTTCTTCTGTTGATTCTTCTTTTACCCCCGTTCTTCCCTTAATTTTCTCTTCTCCATAGATCTGTTCTCGTTTTTAATTAAGTGTTCCAATTGGTGCTGCATCAGGTATAAGTATAAAACTTGAAATGCGTCTCTAAATTCGCATCTACTGGGATTTCTACACAAATCCTTTGAACATTAAGGTTTTCCGAATAACCTCCAAGTTTCTCTTCATGAGGGACTCCCCTTTATATGAACAAGGGACACAAAAAACTTTGATACTAACTAAGTCCTGGATCCAACGGTGCGACTTCATGCACCAGTCAAGTAGAATCCTCATCAGAACCCTCATCCAAGCACCACAAATTGAAACAGAATCATTTCCTCTCTGAATCTATTGCCAAAATCAAGTGGTTAACGGATTTATAAGAGACAAATACAATGCAGCTTTTGTTACAAAAGTTCTTTGAAAGTATAACTTGTTACATCCACCTGAAGCTTTTTTCCACCAGTTCTGTTATGGACCATTTCAAGTTGCCAGAGCAGCAATTAACATACTTGGTTGACATACCAATACCATCCTTCAAAAATACCCTCTGAAATCAACACTTATGCGAACTCCTCATGTGATAAAACTTTCAAGCCTTAATGAATATATTATGATTTCCTCAATCCTGCCTCCACCAACAATAATGACAATATAATTAGGTTGACTTAGCTTTGAAAGAATTCCACGATGTGAATTCTATGCCTGTAATCTTCACCATTAAAATATTTTTCAAATTTTCATACAACCTTCATCTTTCTTTCTCCAGATAAGTAATAAATTTTCCAACTGGTTGTCATAAGCCCTGCTGTAGTTGGAGGAAAAAGGTTGATGCATCCTCGCACCTTTTAGTTGAATATTCCCAAAATACAATTGGAAAGGAACCCTCCCAAATGCATTTCAGTCTAAAGTTTTGAAAATCTATTGGGTGGAAGTTAATGGAGACATTTATGTATATTTAAAACATTAGTTCCTTCAAGCATCATTTCCCTCATGATAGTATAGCAACATAAAAAACAGTTCACGGTCTAGCCAGGAGACTTTGAGAATGACTACTTTGAAGGTAAATTAACTAAGAACTTTAAAGGGCCAAGGAAAAGTAATGTAGATAACACTACCTGTAGGTCCCGTATAGAATGCAAGCTGTCTGCAACAGAATGGTATGCACAGGAATATTAGTTCATTTCAAAGAGAAAAGAAGATGAAAAATGTCATGCAAAAGCCTAAACTCTACTTCAGAACACTTACTCAGTCGCATAACCCAGACGCTCCGCCAAGGGCGTAATACCCACTAAGCTGAAGAAGAAGACAAACCCCTGAAACAGGCAATGTCCAAAAGTTACACATACTGATGTTAAGAGGGAATTTATCAAAAAAATGCAGCATAACCCTTTTCCTAATTAATTGGACAGAGATATAAAATTTCTGGGGGAATTTTATAGCTCTTACATGTTTCTTGCTAAGATAGTGCAGCGTTATTGCAATCGGCCCAAATGGAAGCAAAACGTTTATCTTTGCTTTGAATAAAACAACATAAATACTCCTAAACAGACTGATCCGCTGTATCTTTCTAAGGACAGATGAAGAGGAAACTTTCGAGGGAGAAATGACATGATTTGCCTCAAAATTGAAAGATTGCCTTTTGTTTGTTGGCTGAGTTGAGTTCAATGGTGTCTCCTCATCAGATTCAAGGTCGACCTTTTCCTCGATAGATACCATATCGTCTAACCCAGGCAATTTCCCTGATAAATGGAAGATAGTACAACACGTTTATATACAATTTCATCTAATTTATTATGCAGACAAATAGATCCACTCACCTCAATGTAATGACATACAATGCTTGACCATAGTATCACTGCAACTGCAAAGGAAGATTGAAATCAGCACATCAGACAACAAAGAGTCAACCTTAAAACTAATTTATGATCTTAAAAGTGCATAAAGACCCTAAGGGAAAACAGGAACGCTAAGATTCATACTAGAACTAATGGAAAATTTTACCAGCATTAAGATTTGAAAAATGACCATAATGTCAAAATTGAAGGTGATGAAAAGTGTGATGTCTTTCCCAATCAAGTCCAACATAGTCAATAAAGAACTAATAATATAACAAGAAAATGTCCCAGATCAATTCAAAAAAAAACTAAAACTGTAGAAAATTCATATCAAACCTGAAAACAAACATTTAATGACTGCTATTAAAGAAGCATAATATGCAAACGAAAACCCAGATCAAAGATTCTTTAAAACAGAATTCAGAGGAGCCAAGACCCAAGAAAAAAACAAAAAAGAGAAGCAGTTGATATATTGAAAGTTCTACCTTTCTGATGTCAACAAAGATTCTTGCTTTTAACTGATCCAAAATTTGAACCCACCAAATTACCCAAATATTTTCTTAACATAAATACTAGACATACATGTACGTACAGATAGTAGTCGAAGAAGTATAGAGGGAAGTTCCTTTCAACAGATTTGGAGATAGGTCTCTGTTCTTGAGGTGGGATAATAGATGTGAATGAATTTTATGGGACCAGCACGGCAGCAAGATGGGGAAGGATGTTTCGCAGAAACATCATCTAACGTGCAATTTTCAATTTTAATTTTTAATTTCGATTGATCAAGAATAAGTATTAATTGTTTAATTTAAAATAGGAAAAATTGCAGCAAAGGTACCTAATCTTTTATTTTTTGCAGACTTTACCCTAACCTTCTTTCTATACCAACGAAAGTCCATAACCTTTCATAAATATGCACCCAAGATCCATATGGACGAAAACCATCTAAAACACAATAAATTGATTGGAAAAACTAAGGAATCAGCGTTCAATAAAATCGTCCAAAACGCCGCAAAAAATACCGTTCAAAAAAATATCAACATCCAATAAAATTATCGCGATAGCAGATAGTTCAATGAATTTTACCGATCAACTGACGGTGTCTTGGAGATGGACCTCAAGTGCATATTTATGAAAGATTAGAGACATTTGTTGATATAAAATAAAATTTAAGGTAAAGTCTACAAAAAATAAAAAAAGATAGGACCTATGATGCAATTTTCCCTTTAAAATATTTGAAGATAGTGGAGATTAGACGAGAAAAATAAGTGGGCCTATGGTATGGGGATACTTGGGTTGCCAGATTGTGATTGATGGTAATTTTTTACCTTTTCTCTAATCTGTTCAAAAAGTATCAACAAATTATAAGGTTATTTGAAGCCCCGTTTGATTCTCATTTTTATCAAAATGTATATTTTTCTTTTTTTTAATTATACATTTTTTACTAAAATAATATTATACATAAATAAAAAACTTTTTTTTATTTTTAATCCATATATTTTTCATCAATCTATTATTCTAAAATTCATTTTTTCAATAAAATAGGTGTCAAACACATCTCTCTTCGTGATGCATTAATTTTTTTCTTAGCAAATTTGAATAAGCGGTTTTAAAATCATGATCCAAACTTAATTCCCACTTGATAAAATTTATTTGGGAAGAATGGGTTATTGCATAGTAATTTTTTGAAGAATGCATGATTAAAAAATGAGAAAATTTTATTTTATTATGTGAATGTGTAGTGAAAAATGATCCAGTAGTAAATAATTTAATTTTTTAAAGGATGACAAATATGACTTTAGTAAGACGTATGTGATACACAAAATGAATCTTCAATTGTGTTGATTCTTGTTCCAAACTTAATTATATGATGCACAAGATGAATCCCAATTTTAATTTAACGTAGGTATGATACCCAGAGATCAAGATGACTAAAAAATATTTGTGATTAGCTCTCGAATAAGTTGTAGTCGTGTAAGGGGAGATTCTTGATATGGTAGATTAGCTAAGTTTTGAAGAAGCGTATGATATTCCTTAACTTTAGAAAGTTAATGGATAGATAATCATTTAAGTGGGCAAAAATGACATGTTAATTCATTCGAGAGCGATCATGATTGGACAAAAGCAAAAAATGGTGACAAAAATTCAATATGTTTACATATCTCAAATTAGTCATTAAATTTCAATTTGTTTCTAATTTGTCACTAAACTTTCAAAAATGTTAGCAATCAATCCTTTTGTTAGTAAACATTAGTGAGATTATCACATAAACTTGTGTCGAATGAGATGGCTTATCCAACACTTAACAGAAGGATCATTGGACGAAGTTTATGACTAATTACAAAGTGAGGTTCAGTTAGCAATTTGAAAGTACGTCAACGAGACATAAAAATGACGTTAGATATCCTTCTAAATAGAATATGGATTAAATATGCCAATTTTCCTTGTTTCATAAAATAGCAGTCAATTATTATTTTAATTTGCATTTTAAAATTAAAAAAAAAAAAATTAATATGGTCCATACCTACCCTCGAGTGGGAGTTTCTATAAAATAATGTTTTGATGCAACATGTCACGTGTACATAGCTCATGGTTTTGAAATGTTAAATTTATATATTTTATTTTCTTCTTGAAAAACACAAAGTTTTGTGATTGTGTCTCACGCTCTTTTTCCTTTTAAATTTCATTTTCTTTTCAAAAACGTTTTATATTTATTATTTATATTTATATTTGAAGCATATATTCGTTCCTTATACATCACAAGTGTTATTGTGGAACTCGCAAGCGTATGAAATCGTCAACTAAAAATAATATAGTGATAAAAAAATATCGTCCCGCAAGAAATGCATTGGTGGAGCTTCTAAGTAGTTAATTGAAGATGGAGACAAATCAAGGCTTTTGTACCAAGGGAATGAGGGCTGTGCTGCAAAGATCTCCAATCTGAACCTCCTCATCCACTCTCCCCTCTCTCTTCTCTAGGTACTATTACATGGGCATAGGCTAATAAAACCTAGGAAAACCTCATAATTGTTCAATATAATGATCCAAAGACTACCTTACCAGTCTAATGCATATTTTAACAACATTTTTACGTCTACAAATAGTAGAGCAGAAATATGACAAAGGCGTAGCTCAAACTCATGTCTTAATTTATTAAAGAAAAACTTGCTGTCATTATTACTTTTATCGATATTGCATAAGTAACACGGGTAAAAAATCATTAGGTCAGCTACAAAGTTATATGATATTTCATTAAGGTTAGCAAAAGAGTTTATGCTTTAATGCATTGTGACAGTACTAGTCTTTTTTTGTCTCATCGTTCATCCTTTTTTTTTTTTGGCGGGCGGAAGTTTGGGAGAGAATGTAGTATATAACCTGTATGGCATCAACTAGATACCCAGACAAAACTGATATGGACAGTGTCAGCATAGCAAGCCACCCAATTGCTTCCCACTGGGTAATCTCAGGGGCCTCATCTTCTACAGAATCTTCTTCATTATTCTCCCTCGGCTGTGACAAATGCCATAGAAATTTAACCAGGTCAATGAAATCCATAGTCTAAATAAATCTTTTGCAAATGCATGCGTTGTTTTTTAAGCCAGTCAAGTTCCAATTTCATAAAATCTTCAAAAGATAAATTGAAAAGCATGCATGATATCTTATGCAATACTTATGTTACAAGATCTCTGGTACACTATCAGTTTTAACAAAGAATAAAAATGAGATACGTACCTCATCAACAGAACTATAAAGATTTGTTTGACTCTTGAGCTGAAAGAAAAGATAGCTTGCATATGCAATCAGCATTATGCAGCTGCTAAATCGTGAAAGAGCTAGCTCTGACTTGCCTTTATGCACTTCTGTATGAGTAAAGTGCAGAACTGCTGGAAATAATAAACCCATGACGGCCATTAATAGCAATCCTGAGTTCACCAGAGCAGCTGCCTGAAACAATTTGACACATATTAGCATTTCTGTACTCAGGCTAGGGGGAGAAAAATGACAGACACAGTGGATTCCTGCTTCCATGGACAAAGAAAGAGCTCACTCCATCAAAATTTCAATCATAAATATATTAGTCAGAATAGCACCACCTTATTAAAATTCTGTACTTTATGTTTATGAACCACCCCACCACAGAAGAAGGCACATCCAAGCACCAACAGCATATTGGACAAGATGGAACCCAGTAATGACTGCTGAACGACCCTCATCATACCATTCTTCAACGCATATATCGAAATTATCATCTCCGTAGCGTTGCCAAAGGTTGCGTTTAGAAGGCCTCCAACTGCAGTTTCAACAAAAAAATTATTGATGATGAAGTGAAATCTACTCGTTTAATTATATAATAATCTGTTTGTAATTCACCGAGAGATGAAATTGCTTGTTGATCAAAAGAATGTATAATCATGCTTCTGGAATTTTATTTTTTTTGAGCAAATAATAGAACAATAAGGAAAAAATATTGAGACATGTCTGTAATGAACGAGCTGACACAAGTTGATTTCTAGCATACATCAAATATTAATGTTTCCAACTCTTGCTGAAATGATATTTCCAAGTCAAACTGCATTCAATTTGGCAAATAAGAGATGACCACAGCCCCATTAAGCAATGTAAATAATCTAGCATAACTAACAAGACAATCTCCCGAAATCCAATTTAACTCCTTCAAAATGAATCATTGGTATCTCTTAGAATGATATCTCAGCAGACTTTTGACAATCTCATTTTTTTCATCTGCTCCATGTCAAGTGGGTCAAATTGATTCAAAAGACAGGTGACAATCTACCCTTATCTGTTTCCTTGCTAGTAAAATTTGTTCTTTAGTGAACTTCACATAATTTGCCATCGTAGGATATAATTAATCAGTAACAACTATACAATAATCAGTAGTTCCTTCAAGAGTTTCGGGATGTCTTCCTGGAGGACCTACCTGACCAGTTACCTCCTCTACGGGACATTTAACATTCCATAGGTTTCGTCCCAAGAGAGTCCCTTTCAAATTTGCCTCATTATATGATGAATTCTACCAAGCAGACTGAACTCTAGAGGCTAGTAGATGAACTCCTTCACAAAGGGTTTATCCAAGAGAGTTTAAACCCTTTTATAGTCTCTGTCCTATTGACTCCTAAGAAGGATGGTTCTTGGAAAATGTGTGTGGATAGTCGCCATCAATAGGGTCACGGTGAAGTATCGCTTTCTCATTCCTAGACTTGATGATATGTTAGGTATGATGATTGGTGCTACAATATTTTCTAAGATTATTTGAAGAGTGGATACCATCAGATTAAGATACATCCAGGTGATGAGTGGAAGACCGCTTTTAAAATGAAGATGGTCTTTATGAATGATTGGTCACGTCTTTTGGATTAAGCAACGCTCCGAGTACCTTTATGCGGGCAATGACACAAACTCTTCGACCTTTCATAGGTAAGTCTCTTGTTCTCTACTTTGTTGACATTCTTATCTATAGTAAGACTAAAGAACAACACCCAGCCCATCTCACACAAGTTTGTTTTAACCTTCGTTCAATAAAATTGTATGCTAACGTCAAGAAGTGCTCTTACTTCACTGATAGAGTCATTTTCCTAGAATTCATTGTATTTTCGATAGGGATATCTACCGACCCTGCAAAAATTTAGGCGATTGTTGACTGGTCTGAACCTAAGACTATTCATGACGTTAGGAGCTTTCACGGCTTAGCTACATTTTACCGTCACTTTATCAAGGAGTTTAGTACCATCATGACGCCTATTACAAAGTGCATAAAGAAAGGGAAGTTTCAGTGGACACAAAAGGCGGCTAAGGCTCTTAAGTTAGTCAAGAAGGGAATGATTGAAGCTCCTATCATGCATCTTCTAGATTTTTCTAAAGTCTTTGAGGTAGAGTGTGATACCTCTGGGGTAGGAATAGGTGAAGTCTTGAGTTGGGATCGTCACCCTGTTACCTATTTCAGTGATAAGATGCCAAACAGCGCTACTCCACTTACGATAAGGAATTATACGCGGTTGTCCAAGCTTTGCGCTATTGGCGTCATTATTTGCTACCCCAAGAGTTTGTTCTCTATTCGGACCATGAAGCCCTCCATCACCTTAACTCCCAGAAAAGGCTAAACTCCATGCATGGTCGCTATATTGAATATTTGCAGGCCTATTCTTTTGTCTTGAAACATAAGTAGGGCGTGGAGAACAAAGCGGCTGATGCTTTAAGTCGTCGTGTCTCTCTTTTTCGATCATGAACATCATCGTCGTGTCTCCCTTTTTCGATCATGAACATCAAGGTTTTGAAAGACTTGAGGAGGATTATGAAACGTGTCCTAATTTTAGGGATATCTTTCTTGTGCAAGATGAATGATGTGACACTATAAATGGTTTTCTTCTTGAGAAGGGTTACCTTTATAGAGCCAATAAATTGTGCATCCCTCAAATTTCAGCGTGGGATTTCATAGTGTGGAAGATTCATGCGGGAGGCTTAACTAGTCACTTTGGGCATGATAAGACCATAGAAGAGGTTGAATGCCAATTCTATTAGCCTAGTTTGAAGAAAGATATTACTAAGATTGTTAATACATGTAACACTTGTCAATTGGCTAAACAAAAGAGGCAAAACACGAGTCTATACACACCTTTTCCCATCCCTAATTGTCATTGGCAAGATGTTAGAATAGATTTTGTGTTAGGACTTACACACACCCCAAAGAAACATGATACTATCTTTGTGGTCATTGATCATTTCTCGAAAATGACCCATTTTATCCCTTGTAGGAAGACTTCAGATGCGTTCAATGTTGCTAAGTTGTACTTTAATGAAATTGTCAAGTTGTATGGGCTTCCTAAAATAATTGTGTCAAATAGAAATGTTCGTTTCACTAAACATTTTTGGAGAACCTAGAGGCCAAAGGTTGGTACCAAATTGAAATTTTCTACAGCCAACACTCTCAAACTGACGATCAAATAGACGTGGTTAACCGTAGTCTTAGTAATTTGCTATGATGTCTAGTCAGAAAAAATCTTAAAAATTAGGATTTGATTCTTCGTACAGCGCAAATTGCATATAACAGCTTCATGAATTGGTCATTAGATATGAGTCCATTTGAAGTTGTTCATGGTGATAAGCCTAGGAAGCCTTTAAATCTCATTCCAATGTACCCGCATGCTAGAGTGTTTGAGTCAGACGAGACATTTGCACAACACCTTCATGATTTGTATATTGAGATCAATAAACAACTTGAAGCAAGTTATGCATCATATAAACTCTGAGCTGATTTGCATAAAAGACATGTTGAGTTTAACATTAGGGATTACGTTATGTTCCAAATTAGGCCAGAGCGGCATCTACCTGGACCTACCTCCAAATTGCAAGCCCGTAGTGCTGGTTCTTCTAAAATTTTAAAACAAGTGGATCCAAATGCATATATTGTTGACATCCCACCACACCTTGGATACCACTCTACTTTCAATGTTGAAGACTTAATTGCTTACAAAGGTCATTTTAATCTCTTCGATGATCCTCTTTTACCTCCTTCTGTGGACCTTGATCTTGATTCTTTTGCCACTTCTAACCCAATACCACCTCTCATAGTACACAAAGATAAAATTGATACTATTTTAAATAAAAAGACTGTGTTAACTAACGATGGAGCGGTTCAACGCTTTCTTGTTCATTGGGTTGATTGACAAGATTCTGACGGTATATGGATCTCCAGAGAAAAACTACAGCAATTGGACCCAAATTTATTGGAGCTTTAATGAAGTCAGCAAGATCTTCCTCGACCAAGATCGCCTCACATCCACTCAGGGGAAGATAGTGAGGACACTAGATTCAGACCTCCATTGACACATTTCTACGGACATAAAAAAAAATTGCCCAACCACTCAGCTTATGGTTGGGAGATTGACTACAGCTTCTCATGATCTATCTATGCGACATTGTCGAGTTTTTTCTCCCACCCCATGAGAGTTGATTAGGACATCCGTGTTACTTATTTTCTAGTTGGACTTTATTTATTTAGGTTTTAAATTTTTATTAGGCTTGTATAAAAGGTTTGGCCCAAACCCGATCTCTTTAGGGTTTTGTTTCGCTATTTAAGTTTAGTTGTCATGGAATTAAAACAGTTGATGAATGAATAAAATTATTTTGGTGGCTTGTGGCAATTTTCTACCTTTTCTCCATCTTTCTTCTATTGGTTCTTCTGTTGATTCTTCTTTTACCCCCGTTCTTCCCTTAATTTTCTCTTCTCCATAGATCTGTTCTTGTTTTTAATTAAGTGTTCCAATTGGTGCTGCATCAGGTATAAGTATAAAACTTGAAATGCATCTCTAAATTCGCATCTACTGGGATTTCTACACAAATCCTTTGAACAATAAGGTTTTCCGAATAACCTCCAAGTTTCTCTTCATGAGGGACTCCCCTTTATATGAACAAGGGACACAAAAAACTTTGATACTAACTGAGTCCTGGATCCAACGGTGCGACTTCATGCACCAGTCAAGTAGAATCCTCATCAGAACCCTCATCCAAGCACCACAAATTGAAACAGAATCATTTCCTCTCTGAATCTATTGCCAAAATCAAGTGGTTAACGGATTTATAAGAGACAAATACAATGCAGCTTTTGTTACAAAAGTTCTTTGAAAGTATAACTTGTTACATCCACCTGAAGCTTTTTTCCACCAGTTCTGTTATGGACCATTTCAAGTTGCCAGAGCAGCAATTAATATACTTGGTTGACATACCAATACCATCCTTCAAAAATACCCTCTGAAATCAACACTTATGCGAACTCCTCATGTGATAAAACTTTCAAGCCTTAATGAATATATTATGATTTCCTCAATCCTACCTCCACCAACAATAATGACAATATAATTAGGTTGACTTAGCTTTGAAAGAATTCCACGATGTGAATTCTATGCCTGTAATCTTCACCATTAAAATATTTTTCAAATTTTCATACAACCTTCATCTTTCTTTCTCCAGATAAGTAATAAATTTTCCAACTGGTTGTCATAAGCCCTGCTGTAGTTGGAGGAAAAAGGTTGACGCATCCTCGCACCTTTTAGTTGAATATTCCCAAAATACAATTGGAAAGGAACCCTCCCAAATGCATTTCAGTCTAAAGTTTTGAAAATCTATTGGGTGGAAGTTAATTGAGACATTTATGTATATTTAAAACATTAGTTCCTTCAAGCATCATTTCCCTCATGATAGTATAGCAACATAAAAAACAGTTCACGGTCTAGCTAGGAGACTTTGAGAATGACTACTTTGAAGGTAAATTAACTAAGAACTTTAAAGGGCCAAGGAAAAGTAATGTAGATAACACTACCTGTAGGTCCCGTATAGAATGCAAGCTGTCTGCAACAGAATGGTATGCACAGGAATATTAGTTCATTTCAAAGAGAAAAGAAGATGAAAAAATGTCGTGCAAAAGCCTAAACTCTACTTCAGAACACTTACTCAGTCGCATAACCCAGACGCTCCGCCAAGGGCGTAATACCCACTAAGCTGAAGAAGAAGACAAACCCCTGAAACAGGCAATGTCCAAAAGTTACACATACTGATGTTAAGAGGGAATTTATCAAAAAAATTCAGCATAACCCTTTTCCTAATTAATTGGACAGAGATATAAAATTTCTGGGGGAATTTTATAGCTCTTACATGTTTCTTGCTAAGATAGTGCAGCGTTATTGCAATCGGCCCAAATGGAAGCAAAACGTTTATCTTTGCTTTGAATAAAACAACATAAATACTCCTAAGCAGACTGATCCGCTGTATCTTTCTAAGGACAGATGAAGAGGAAACTTTCGAGGGAGAAATGACATGATTTGCCTCAAAATTGAAAGATTGCCTTTTGTTTGTTGGCTGAGTTGAGTTCAATGGTGTCTCCTCATCAGATTCAAGGTCGACCTTTTCCTCGATAGATACCATATCGTCTAACCCAGGCAATTTCCCTGATAAATGGAAGATAGTACAACACGTTTATATACAATTTCATCTAATTTATTATGCAGACAAATAGATCCACTCACCTCAATGTAATGACATACAATGCTTGACCATAGTATCACTGCAACTGCAAAGGAAGATTGAAATCAGCACATCAGACAACAAAGAGTCAACCTTAAAACTAATTTATGATCTTAAAAGTGCATAAAGACCCTAAGGGAAAACAGGAACGCTAAGATTCATACTAGAACTAATGGAAAATTTTACCAGCATTAAGATTTGAAAAATGACCATAATGTCAAAATTGAAGGTGATGAAAAGTGTGATGTCTTTCCCAATCAAGTCCAACATAGTCAATAAAGAACTAATAATATAACAAGAAAATGTCCCAGATCAATTCAAAAAAAAACTAAAACTGTAGAAAATTCATATCAAACCTGAAAACAAACATTTAATGACTGCTATTAAAGAAGCATAATATGCAAACGAAAACCCAGATCAAAGATTCTTTAAAACAGAATTCAGAGGAGCCAAGACCCAAGAAAAAAACAAAAAAGAGAAGCAGTTGATATATTGAAAGTTCTACCTTTCTGATGTCAACAAAGATTCTTGCTTTTAACTGATCCAAAATTTGAACCCACCAAATTACCCAAATATTTTCTTAACATAAATACTAGACATACATGTACGTACAGATAGTAGTCGAAGAAGTATAGAGGGAAGTTCCTTTCAACAGATTTGGAGATAGGTCTCTGTTCTTGAGGTGGGATAATAGATGTGAATGAATTTTATGGGACCAGCACGGCAGCAAGATGGGGAAGGATGTTTCGCAGAAACATCATCTAACGTGCAATTTTCAATTTTAATTTTTAATTTCGATTGATCAAGAATAAGTATTAATTGTTTAATTTAAAATAGGAAAAATTGCAGCAAAGGTACCTAATCTTTTATTTTTTGCAGACTTTACCCTAACCTTCTTTCTATACCAACGAAAGTCCATAACCTTTCATAAATATGCACCCAAGATCCATATGGACGAAAACCATCTAAAACACAATAAATTGATTGGAAAAACTAAGGAATCAGCGTTCAATAAAATCGTCCAAAACGCCGCAAAAAATACCGTTCAAAAAAATATCAACATCCAATAAAATTATCGCGATAGCAGATAGTTCAATGAATTTTACCGATCAACTGACGGTGTCTTGGAGATGGACCTCAAGTGCATATTTATGAAAGATTAGAGACATTTGTTGATATAAAATAAAATTTAAGGTAAAGTCTACAAAAAATAAAAAAAGATAGGACCTATGATGCAATTTTCCCTTTAAAATATTTGAAGATAGTGGAGATTAGACGAGAAAAATAAGTGGGCCTATGGTATGGGGATACTTGGGTTGCCAGATTGTGATTGATGGTAATTTTTTACCTTTTCTCTAATCTGTTCAAAAAGTATCAACAAATTATAAGGTTATTTGAAGCCCCGTTTGATTCTCATTTTTATCAAAATGTATATTTTTCTTTTTTTTAATTATACATTTTTTACTAAAATAATATTATACATAAATAAAAAACTTTTTTTTATTTTTAATCCATATATTTTTCATCAATCTATTATTCTAAAATTCATTTTTTCAATAAAATAGGTGTCAAACACATCTCTCTTCGTGATGCATTAATTTTTTTCTTAGCAAATTTGAATAAGCGGTTTTAAAATCATGATCCAAACTTAATTCCCACTTGATAAAATTTATTTGGGAAGAATGGGTTATTGCATAGTAATTTTTTGAAGAATGCATGATTAAAAAATGAGAAAATTTTATTTTATTATGTGAATGTGTAGTGAAAAATGATCCAGTAGTAAATAATTTAATTTTTTAAAGGATGACAAATATGACTTTAGTAAGACGTATGTGATACACAAAATGAATCTTCAATTGTGTTGATTCTTGTTCCAAACTTAATTATATGATGCACAAGATGAATCCCAATTTTAATTTAACGTAGGTATGATACCCAGAGATCAAGATGACTAAAAAATATTTGTGATTAGCTCTCGAATAAGTTGTAGTCGTGTAAGGGGAGATTCTTGATATGGTAGATTAGCTAAGTTTTGAAGAAGCGTATGATATTCCTTAACTTTAGAAAGTTAATGGATAGATAATCATTTAAGTGGGCAAAAATGACATGTTAATTCATTCGAGAGCGATCATGATTGGACAAAAGCAAAAAATGGTGACAAAAATTCAATATGTTTACATATCTCAAATTAGTCATTAAATTTCAACTTGTTTCTAATTTGTCACTAAACTTTCAAAAATGTTAGCAATCAATCCTTTTGTTAGTAAACATTAGTGAGATTATCACATAAACTTGTGTCGAATGAGATGGCTTATCCAACACTTAACAGAAGGATCATTGGACGAAGTTTATGACTAATTACAAAGTGAGGTTCAGTTAGCAATTTGAAAGTACGTCAACGAGACATAAAAATGACGTTAGATATCCTTCTAAATAGAATATGGATTAAATATGCCAATTTTCCTTGTTTCATAAAATAGCAGTCAATTATTATTTTAATTTGCATTTTAAAATTAAAAAAAAAAAAATTAATATGGTCCATACCTACCCTCGAGTGGGAGTTTCTATAAAATAATGTTTTGATGCAACATGTCACGTGTACATAGCTCATGGTTTTGAAATGTTAAATTTATATATTTTATTTTCTTCTTGAAAAACACAAAGTTTTGTGATTGTGTCTCACGCTCTTTTTCCTTTTAAATTTCATTTTCTTTTCAAAAATGTTTTATATTTATTATTTATATTTATATTTGAAGCATATATTCGTTCCTTATACATCACAAGTGTTATTGTGGAACTCGCAAGCGTATGAAATCGTCAACTAAAAATAATATAGTGATAAAAAAATATCGTCCCGCAAGAAATGCATTTTAAATTGAATTTTATTAATCCATTATAAAAATTCAAATGTAACGTAACAATAAAGATTTATTTTTGATAATGATGGCGTTTGGTGGAAATTAAAATTAAATTTTTAATAAATTTTGATAGAAATTTTTGAAATGTGAGATTGAAAAGTTGTGGAATCATTAAAGATGTGATTAATATCGATTGTTTGACTTTGACTCAAATTAAAATTGTATTAAAATTTGAGTCAAGCAAGGGCTATATATAAATTATCTAATGGTCTTTTATTTAAATATGGGAATTATGTGTTCATACTTCGAATTTATATATAATTATCATATTTCCAATTTTTTAACTTATATAATGTAATTTGTGTATTATTGACAATCGATAATTCAATTTTATTTAATTATCTCTCTCGAGGTAAGTTAAAGATATCACAAGTACGATTCGGTCATATTCCTATTCTGTATTCCGAATTCATGTGAAAGTGATGTATTCAATTACAAAATTATCTAAGTGATTGCGTATGTCATATATGTTCTTCCTAATATATATTATCCACATGTTAATCTTGTATAGTTCTAACTTATTATAAACTCATTGTAACTATAACAAGTAATTTATTACCTAATTGATGATCACGCAATTAAATAATGCAACAAAGTATACAAGATCAATAAAAAATACAAATAAAATAAGCTTCTTGGTCTTTGAATTAAAAATAAATAACAATAAGTTTCATCTTCATCCCAACGCAAAGAAAATTTAGTCTAGTATGTTTTTAATGTTAATACAAGAAGAATAATGAAAAACATCATCTGAAAATTATATGAATACAAGAAATATGTGAAAACAATTTCTTATTCTCGATCTTCAATTCAAAACCTTGATTCTTCACCTTCTTGCTGTAATTTGTTGGAAAAATTGGGTTACTTGCATGTAGATTATTTATAAATTAACATAATTAATTAACTGACATAAACATAATTCAACAATAATATAAAATAAAAAGAGAGTCAGAAAAACAAGCATTGAGAGTCATATTAAAGACTCTATCCTAAAGTCGTATTGCCTCCCCTTTGTATAGGCTCTTTCGGCGCTACATGTGGCTCACTACTGATTCTCCTTCTACAGGCACGATCATAAGGAGATAAGTGAACGAACCTTTATTGAGTTGACAAAAGTATAAGAAAATAGCATAAATTATATATAATGTTTATAATCACCTTTTATAATTGAAATCAACCCCCACAATTAAGTCGTTAAAATGGAAGTTATAATATGAATTATGATGTTTTAATTGTGTTAAAATGATCAGTAAATAAAGAAAAACAGAAAATTAAAGGGGATAAATATTGAAAGGTTAAAACTTCATTTTTTTTTGTTATAACAATCCCCTACAAATTTTAAACTTTCAAAATTGATAAATATATAATAGTGGCAACGTTATACTGTGTAATAGGTGTTTTTTGGATTTGAACCTCACTTAGTGATAACAATTTCCATTTGAGGGAACCATAATGGACCAAACCTTGAATTAGGTCTCTTTGGCTAAATTTCAATTGTTCCACACACACTATCGATTAGGCTTTAGTTCATAGCGGTTAGTACTCTTAATGGCCATGCGCTTTAATCTTGATTCTAGTAAGAGTTTCTAGGGAATAGCCCAATCACATAGCCACGGCTTCATGGCAACTCTTACATAGGTTAGTCCTCCAAGGGTGTATGTGATTCACACCTCGCGAGAATTGTCGTCTCAGTACTCATTCAAGGTTAGATCTTTTATAACATTACATTATTATTAGCAATATCACCATAGGGATGAGCACAAATAAAATAGTGTTATTACAAGTCACGCAATGCGGATTGTTTCTACCACATTAAACCTTATTCATGGATCTTCAATCACATAGGTTGGGTTACTCTCAGAGGTGACTCCCTTATGGATTTAAATTCATCCCCCTTGATGATATATAGATATGTCCATGGACATCAATATATTCATGTCCCTCTTGGACAATAATTTGGTACTATAATATTTGCAAATTCTTATTTTCTGCTTGCACACCTGCAAAATCTTCTAAAACATTTCAAAATATCAAAGTCACGTTAAGTATAATAAGATAAATACATGAAATTTAAAATTGACTTTTAGTTACATGGTTAAACATGTGCATCCATTCAACTCTTTTATTTCACATGCGTGTCTCCATTTTCATTTCTAGTACTTTTTAAAAGTCGGTTTTACACAAGAAATAATAAATATAAAGTGTATAAATTGATAACTTTAAACACACCCCACATTCCAAATATATTCAGCTTGTAGAACTTTTTTTTCCAAAGTTATCCATGGTGTGGAGCTTCTTTGAAAATTTCCATGTCTCCAAATACTTCTAAACACTTTCACAAAATATTAGTAAAGCATAAATAAGAATAACTTAGATGGAATTAGAAAAAAGGTATGACATTTTGATATTCATCCAATTTCTTCCCAAGAATTGACCAAATAAAGAAAAAACTCTGTTAAATAATTTAATACTCTCGCGTTTCAAAATATCCATCTTGAATTGAATAAGTATATGATCTCTATAGATATGGACATAGAGGCAACCTTTCTTGACCCCCTTGATGGCAAAGAGTGCTCCTTTACTTACCCTCTCAAGCCATCAAGATTGTTTTTTAGGTACTAAATGCTGAGGTTGCCATCGAAAATCTAATTTTTAGTTATGTGCTAGCAAAAGGAAAGTAACTTATAAGAAATAGTAGAATTGAGTTAGAAACAAATCAAAAGCGCTAGCATCGTGTTTCACAAATATATGATGTAGTGAATTTCAGATAGCAGTCGATAATTTTAATTAATATCAGATGTGGGAATAGTTACTTGTAATTATCCAAAATCACATTTATAACAATAA